TGGTTTGGTTCTTGCATCACATGTTAAAATCCAAAGAAAAGTATTATCAATACAGCACTTTTGACAGTTCTCTCAAATGTATGGATGGAGCCTGCGATAATTTTCATCACGAGTCCCACATTTTGTGAGAGGGCTATCATGCAAAGTGTACAATTAGCATTTCCCAAATTGAAATTATAAAAATTGAATGAACAACTTGATTTCAGTCAATTATAGGGAACTCAAGTATGAACATTTTGGCCCAATCTCAAATAAACCTAATAATTCTATCACAAAGCCCGACATTTCCACTACCTTCTACTAACATCCTTAAATAATGCAATATCGACTAGAGATTTTTGCACTAGGTAAGTGAATTAATCATCCAAATTGCGAATTAACTACTGCATCAACAACACGGCCAATCAACTGTATCATTCTAAAAACATTATTGATTCGAGTTTAGAACGTTAAATTGAACAAAACATGAAAATATGGAAATCAAATGAAGTCAAATAACCTCATCTGATACAAAATTATATAAATTGCAAGAGATAAAAATATATTATTTAGCATTTCAAAATTCAAACCCTTAAAGATCTGCTGAATGTTTTCCAAATCTTGGGGTCCTTAAAATCTGGCCTGTCATCATTTTTGGCACTCTTTTTCCCACGGATTGGTTTCAGCAACTTCTTTAGGACCTTTTGAAAACCACGCCGCCACTTTCGCACTGGCTTCGCCACCACCTGCGGTGCTTCTAGCCGCAGCGGAACACTCGGCTCCGACATACTCCGCCCGAGTATGGCCTGGTTCAATTGCACCTCAAAGGAAAGCCTCTCGTACCGGTCCAATAACGTGCTCTGTTCATCGCCAAACCTTTTCAAGATTACTGCCATATCTTCCATTGTCCCCATTTCTGCAACCAAATTCTTCACCACTAACTGCATCGATATATATATGTATATATGTGTGTTAGTGTGTGTGAAATCTGTAGAAAAAAAGCTTGGTTTCGAGGTTCCCTTTTATGGCTAAAAGTTCAGGTTTTCAAAGCTAAGCCGAGCGATACAAGCAACTGAGAATATATAAAGCTGCAAATAATAAAAATGCAATAAATTTATAACAGAGAAAAATGTAATTTCTTGGGAAGGATAAAAGGGAAAACCTTGGATTGGTTGTTGAATTATTAATGTCATTCCAAATTTGATTTGAAAATTGGATTCTTCGAAATAAATTATTTTCGAACTCTGTGCACTATGCAAAACAATTATCATTCAGATATTCTGCTACTCATTACCCAATTTTTGTGTCTTTATAATTTAAATAATATGGGAGCCAAAGCCATGCCATGAAGAAGCAGCCGGATTACGCAGCCGAATCATTTTCCGTCACTTTATGCTTTCTTGTTCGAGTAAAACTATGTTTTGTTCTTTCAATTAGAGTCTCTCTAGAGAGGTTTGTTGAACACAAAAGTTCACAACTTTAATTCCCTATGCGGCCTTAGTTTCTATAATTAAGAATTTTGCATTCCAATACGAAAGCTCTAAAGGCAGACACGTTCACATTGAAGTGTATCTTCTGTATCCTAGTGCGATGAAAATGTACAAAATTTATTAATTAATTAATTTTTTTTTATTAGTCTACAATACTAGATTACAAATTGTATACTTCATCAAATAATTTATAACAACACATGAATGCCCCCCTGGGGCAAAATTCAATGGTGCAAAGGAGAGGAGTGAAGTTATCTCACGCTTTACTGGCAGTCGCAGTGTGAGAGTTCAATTCTTGAGACATGAAATTGGACTCCTTGTAGGCGCAGTCAGGGACGGATTCAGGATTAAATCCAAGACCGGGCCAAAAAATTTCAAACCGGGCTACTACGCAAAAAATATATATATATTTACATAGAAAAAACTGATTTTTTACAAAAAAAAAAAATAATAAAATAAAAAGTATCTTAAAAAAAAGTTCTTGGGCCTGGGGGGAGGGCTATAGTCCAGCCCTAGCCTCCGCGTAAATCCATCTTTGGGAGCAGTATACAAGCAGCTCTTGTTTCTTGACATGTTGAAACATATCTCGCGATTTACTTCTTTCACAAAACTCTAGGAACGAAGTGGTGGGCATCCTCAAAATTAGGATTCAACCTTTTTTTTTAACAACACATAGAATGCTAAAACATCTAAATCGAGGTCCGAATTATAGGTAATGATTATTCGAAGTGCCATACTAATCGACCAAATCAGGATCTAGAGAAGATACTGGATTGGCCCAAGTTTCCATGCCATGTCACAGTTGAATGAAGTGATAGGGACAATGTCAACTCCCCTAGCCTATATATTAATTAAATAGGTACAGAGTCAGGAGAGTAGAGTTGTAGGAGCAAATTTCACAAAATTATAATTGTGGAGGCAAATTTGAAAAGTATAAAGAATCTTTTTGAAATTCTATGTAAAATGTTGAAAAATACATTTAAAATCTTGGATTTCAAATTTAGTGTGGGAGCAGTAGATCCACCCGTGAATCATGATATTAAGGGGTCATTTTCATTAGGGGTGTAAGCTGTTCGATTTTACCGATTTGACAAATTTCAAACCAAACCATTTAAAACGGTTTGAGAAAAATTCAAATCTAAACCAAACCATTTTGAACGGTTTGAAAAAAACTCAAGCCTAAACCTAATGGTTTGGTCCGGTTTTAAACCGTCGATTTCGCCATATATTTTTTTATCCGTCTACTTTTATGTCATTAATTCATTGAATTTAATATATATTTATATTTCACTAGTAATAAATTTAAAACAAACTAAACCCCTATTTGAATCAAATTATTGGGACAAAAAAATGAAAATTTGGATCGTTATTCCACAAGTCCAGCTGCCTTTGTTGACCTTTTATTTCATGTGTGGGACCCAACCTCCTCTCCAATAGTCAATTTTCTCATTATGATGATATGGAAAATATGGCTCAAACAGAGGCTAAATATATCTACTATAAATTTAAATATTAACTAAATTAAAGTGAAATAACAATAAACTAAAACATAGTTTTTTTTTTTTTCATTTTTGTTCACCTTTTTGAAGTTAATGACGATACAATAACTTTACAATACAAGTCTACTAAACTAGATATAAGGTCCAAAAAACATAATGATGTCCAACAAGATCTCGTGATCATCATATTTGAAAAAAAAGATATTGATTAAATAAAGAGAATAACCAACTACAATAATAAAACAATTGTTTATAATATCTAAACATAACAATTACATAAGTTTGCGTTTGTATAATGTTACGAAACACATTTAATTTCATATTCTTTCCTTAGTTTGCTCCAAAAAATTATTGATCTGAAACTTTATTTGTAGCAAATATTATCACCGAAGGTCTAGGATCTCTTTGCCTCCGATTTGGTATAATGGACTTCAATTCGACTTTGAAGAGGCGTGAAAAATCTGAAAAGAAGTGTGTGGTGCCGGTAGCTCAAAACTGTGTTGGGTGTTGACTGGAGTTCATCTAAATTTTGAAGAGGAAAAAGGCTTTTGATAGATTATGTTAGTCTTAAAATTATTAAATATATATTAGGATTATTGGATGATGATAATAATAATAATAATAATAATAATAATAATAATAATAATAATAATAATAATAATAATATATCTGTATTAGAAAATTAGGAATTGACAAAAATACCCACAAATGACAAAACTATTGAATTTTACATATTTGGATGAATTTTCAAAAAATTTCATTTTTTTATATTTTTATTTTTTATATATTTTTTCGCCGGTCCGGTTTGGTTTTAAACCGCAATTAAAATTCTCAAACCTAAACCAAACCATTTTGACCAGTTTGGTTTGGGTCAAAACCATTTCGTTGACCGGGTCCACGTGGCACCAAACCGACGATTTCTAAAATGCGGTTTCGATTCGATTTTTCGGTTGCAGTTTTTGATTACAGCCCTAATTTCCACCTGGAAAGGTACGTGACATTTCATTCTCCCTGGAAAGTACATTCGAGTTCACTCATACTCTTGACCTCATTAAATATGCATCAAGGAATCTTCGACTAGTACACCTCCAATTTTTTCAATAGCCAACTAGGTTCACCATTTTCTCTATCTTTACAAGAAATACAAGCTTTATATTTCATAAAGTTGATCAATTTTTGTCATCAATAAATACCTACAATAAGGTACCGTTTGGTAGTCATTTTCTTCAAAATACATTTTTCTCTTTTTTTTTAACCACACATTCTTTATTAGAATAATATTACACGTAAATCAAAAACTTTTCCTCATTTTTCAAACATTTCACATCAATTTACTATTTTAAAATACATTTTTACATAAAAATGTCTATCAAACACCCCCTAATTTTATATAATATTATCAAGATTCAAGTTTTTGCGACTACAAACAATGACCTTAAACGTCAAACGTATGAGCCTCATTCATCTCTTTATTCATTGATAAATGTGAGCCGTAGAGATTAAAAAAATCAGATTATTCCAATTCTCAACTGTTATAGAAAAAGGAATTTGGGTTTTCTTCTAGTACAAAGAGCTTTGAAATTGAATGCTCATTAATACAAATATTTTAAGAAAATAACAAATTTGTGGTATCTTTTAAAAAATCTAGTGGTCATATTCTATAACCCCTGGTACAATTTCGTGATCTATAATTTTATTAATCAGCTCATGGTCACAATCACGCACAATTTATGGTTATGGTTGTAGTCACAGTCACAGTCGCAGTCACAGTCACAGTCACATATTAGTTACAAATCACACAAAGTTACAGTCATAAAGACATAAATTGTGGGTCAAAATTACAAATTTAATCGTAAATAGCTCATTTTTATAAATCACAAATTATTTATCAATCACTAATTACTAAATTTACTAGTTACAATCACTCGTCGTCCCACCATATTTCATCCTACCCCCAATCCAGCAATCACCACCTCAATCGACAAACCCCCAGCAATACCTCCACCTCCATCTCATTACCACCTAGACCTCATCCACAACCAACTAGCACCTCAAGTCTGCCACACAACCACCAGCGCCATATCCACCTCCATCATACCACTACCATCTCTAACACTTGCACCTCATCAACAACCACCGACACCCCCTAAGTGCCGCCACTACTACCACTTATCCACCAATACCTCCCCACACACCCTTCCGTCTCTTAACAAAACCCATAAAGATTTTGATGATACCAATATTGTATACCCCGATGACTATTTCCTCGAGGACTCCATACATGCTCTGCCCACTTTTCTACCACAAGTCCTTGAGATCTTTCTAGTCCTTGAGGTATTTTGGTCCTCGAGGAAACCTCATACGAATATAAAAATCACCCCATGGTCCTCGAGAATATGTCCTTGGGACATATTCCATTAGTAGATCTTCTAGACCTATGTGCCTATCAAACGGACACCTAAACACCCAAAAACTCTATATCAACTCTTACACCACTAGTCAAACAATTCCATTACGAGTAGGACATTCCTCACAAACAGGACTCCATTGGATAAATACATCCAACTAGCACAATCCTATTAGGAGTACACTACCTACCTCTATAAATATAGAACCTTGGGCCATTATTCAGGTACATTCTCATTATTTCTTCAGTATATAGCTTCAGGCATATAATTCCCTTTTTGACTTAAGCATCAGAGGGGCGACGAGAACATACATCGTTGCCTTTGTTTCAGGTACCGGAGGACTACGATTTGCTCAATCAAAATCATCAAGCTCGGAAAATCAACAGGTACGATTTTTGGTAGCATCATTGGCGCCGTTTGTGAGAAGCGCTACCAAAAGCCATGGTCAACACACGATCAGGTCTTCCCTTCGCAAGCTCATCCGCTCCCGTCCCTCATCCTGCCGAAGATCAACCGGCTCCTCATGAAGAATCCTTAGGAGTGCCCGCACCTATGCCAGCGGTCATCACAACTGAAGCCTTTGAAGAGCTCCGTCATCAGGTGGCCATGCTCACCAACTATTAAGTCAAAGAAATTCACATCCATCGTCAGCACAGGCAGAGCATGGCGGTTTTATGGCTGATGCTCGAGGACGACCACCAAACCCCGCAACTGGCGGAGTAGGAACCTCAAGTATTCACAATATGGCATTGGGCTCGAGATCGGTCGCCATGGATTCGGGTGAAATTGCCTGGATCATTCAAGAAGGAATTACAGTTGGCCTCCAAATGAATGCTCGGGGGCCATCAGGTTTCACCCCTAACACTCCATTCACGCCAAAGATATTGTCATATCCCTTGCCTGACAGATTCAAATATCCTCGCATTAAAGAGTATGATGGGACAACCGACCCCATCAACCATCTCAATGTATATACTGATATCATGAACTTGCAAGTTGCGCCGATCAGGTTATGTGCAAAGCCTTTCCACAAACACTGACTAATGCTGCTAGGGATTGGTTCTCAACATTGGAGCCCAACTCCATAGCCTCATTCTCAGATTTGGCTGATAAGTTCTTAGCCTTCTTTCAGAGTAGTAAGCGAATCAGGAAGATCACGGCCTCCCTCATGCAACTGCGCCAGGGACTGAATGAAACCCTACGAGGTTTTATAACAAGATTTAACAAGGAAAGACTTCAAATACCTGACCTTCATATTATAGCGGCAGTTTCAGCCCTCACCTATGCCATAAGGTGTGAGGCTTTCAAAATATCTTTATCAGAGACCCCACCACAGACAGTGACCGAGCTCCTTAATCGAGCTGAAAAATATATCAATATAGAGGAAACGTTGAATCTAAGGAGAGCTGGTCCCACTCATGAAATGGTCAAAAACAAAAGGCAACATGATCCCATTCATCGACATGAGATTCCTCGGGATAAGCGCAGGAATGAGGCGCCATCAGCACCTCTCACTCGGTTGAACACCTCTAAGACAAACATCTTGATGGAGATTAAGGATATGAAAGAATTAAAGTGGCCTTCAAGGATAAAGTCGCCCCCTGACGCAAGAGATAAAAGCAAGTATTGTTAATTTCACCGGGATCATGGGCATACCACGGAGGGTTTTCAAGCTCTGCAGCGGGAAATCGAAGCTCTCATTAAAAGAGGATTCTTAAGGAATTACATTGGTCACTATAAATGCCGAGAAATGATCGTGACAATCGAAAAGAGCCTGGAACTGGAAGCAGTGCTCAACCCACTGCAGGGACAATTAATATTATCATCGAAGGCATAACATCTGGAGGAGATACAAATAGCGGGCGAAAGCAGTATGCTCGCAAACATGCTCATACCCCAAGGGAATCCCGTGATGAAATCAAAGACATCACTTTTGGGGCAAGAGATTTGGAAGGAATAACATATCCTCATGACAATGCCTTGGTCATCTCTGCGGTTGTTGCTAATTTCGAAGTAAAGAGGATACTAGTTGATAATGGGAGTGTAGCAAATATACTCTCGCAGGAGGCTTTCGCCAAAATGGGGATCTCTCCCAAACAGCTCAAAGCAGTAAAAACTCCTCTACAAGGATTTGGTAATGGAGTCATTATCCTTGAGGGAATCGTCGAGCTCCCGCTTACATTAGGATCTGGTAATACACAAGTAACGGAGATCACACCATTCCAAGTGGTTAATACCCCAATGGCCTACAACATCATCCTGGGAAGACCTCTACTGAACAAGATCCAGGCTATTGTATCAACTCTCCACCTTGCCATGAAGTTCCCCACAGGTCATGGCATCGGAGTAGTTCGAGAAGACCAAACAGCTGCCAGACAGTGCTATGTTACTAGCATTCGAGGAATGAATATAGACGTCATGCAACTTTCAAACCTCGAGATCGAGCTCGAGCCAAGGGGCAGATTGGCCCCCGTTGAGGAATTGGAAGTGGTCGAGCTCAAGCACGGAAAAGTAGTAACTATTGGTCGGGATCTCAAGGCCAACCTCCGGGAGGAAGTCATCAATTGTCTATCCCACAACATTGATGTTTTTGCATGGAAGGTGGAGGATATACCAGGGATAGACCTAGAACTAGCTGTCCATAAACTCAACATCAGCCCAAGAGCCAAACCTATTAAGCAAAGGAAGAGACAGTTTGCGCCGGAAAGACGTGTGGTCATTCAGGAAGAGGTCGATAAATTGGTGAGAGCGGGTTTCATAAGGAAAGTCCAATACCCCGATTGGCTCGCTAATGTTGTTCTTGTGAAAAAGGCCAGTGGTAAATGGAGGGTCTGCATCGACTTTACCAATCTCAATAAGGTGTGCCCAAAAGACAGCTACCCACTACCTAGGATTGACAATCTTGTGGATACCACATCTGGACATACGTTGTACAGCTTCTTAGATGCATTCTCAGTGTATCATCAGATCCTCATGGCTGAAGAAGACCAAGAGAAGACTTCATTCATGGCTGATTCAGCCATATATTGCTATAGGGTGATGCCATTTGGATTGAAAAATGTTGGGGCGACATATCAGAGGCTCATCAACAAAGTCTTCACCGATCTAATAGGAAAGAATATCGAGGCGTATGTGGACGACATGGTTGTAAAGAGTAAGAAGGTAGAGCAACACATATCCAACCTAGAGGAGGTGTTCATCACCTTATGAAAATATAAGATGAAGCTCAACCCAGAGAAATGTGTATTCGACGTAGCTTTAGGAAAGTTTCTGGGTTTTATGATCACTCATCGGGGGTTTGAGGCCAACCCCGATAAGATTCAGGCTTTGGCAGTAATGTAATCACCAAGGACCAAGAAAGAAGTTCAAAAGTTGACGGGTAAGGTAGCCGCCTTAAACAGGTTCATGTCCCGAGCAGCAGACAAGTGCTTCTCCTTCTTCAAAGCCCTTAGGGGTAATCATTGTTTTGAATGGAATGAGAAGTGCGAGAAGGCTTTTCAAGAGCTCAAGCAGACATTGGAATCTCCTCCTATCCTCACCAAATCCGAGCCCCGGGATACTTTGTATTTGTAGCCGTGTCTCAAAATGCAGTAAGTGGTGTCTTGGTGAAAGAGGTTAATAGGGCTTAGCAACCCATTTATTACATAAGCAAAGTCCTACTTGATGTAGAAACAAGATACACTTTGGCAGAACAACTTGTCCTTGCACTGATAGTGGCAGCACGAAAGCTTCGCCAATATTTTCAATCACGTCCTATTGTAGTGCTCACCAATTAGCCTCTAAAACACATTCTTCAGAAACCAAACGTCTCAGGAAGATTACTGAAGTGGGTAATTGAACTCGGAGAATTTGACATAGAGTTTAAGTCCCAACCATCTATCAAAGCTCAGGCGTTAGCTGTCTTCATTGCAGAACTCACCCCAAGGCCTCGGGGGCTAGATGGTAGCTCGAGATCTTCCACAGGCGTGTGACAAATTTTCGTAGATGGAGCATCAAACTCCTCAAGCTCAGGTGCAGGGGTCATCATCATAAGCTCGGACACGCTCATAGACATTCAGTGTGCACTCAGGTTCAAATTTGAGGCAACCAATAATGAAGCAGAGTATGAGGCCGTCATCATAGCTATGGAACTTGCCATCAATCTCGAGCTTGAAAATATCAAAATTTACAGTGATTCCCAATTGGTGGTTGGACAAATTGAAGGGACGTTCGATAGGAAGGATGAGAAAATGAGTTTATACTGCTTGAAAGTGCATGATCTCCAGAGAAAGTTTAAGGGTTGTGAAATTATGAAGATTACTCGGGCTGAGAATTGTAAGGCCGATGCCTTGTCAAGATTGGTGTTCATGGGAATAGATGGACAGTCCACATTAGAATTGTAACCGCGCCGAGCATCAATCAGACCGTAGGCGTCATGGATATTGATAACGAGCCATCGTGGATGGATTCAATAGTGGACTTCATAAAACATGGCAATCTTCCAGAAGATCCTTGAGCAGCAAGAAGCATCCGGTCCAAAGCTCCAAGGTATTGCATGATTGAGGGAGTTCTATTTCGTAGAAGCCTCACACTTCCATACCTCAGATGCCTTAAGCCTTCCGAATCATCCCAGGCCCTAGAAGAAGTTCATGAAGGGATATGTGGGAACCATCAAGGAGCTCGGGCATTAACCGTCAAGCTCATAAGGTATAGATATTATTGGCATACCATGAAGAAAGATGCCCAGGAATATGTCAAGAAGTGTGACGAGTGCCAGAGATTCGGCAATATCATCCATTCTCTCGCAGAAGACCTCACTAGCATTAGTTGCACGGCCTCGTTTGAGCAGTGGGGAATTGACATCCTTGGTTCCTTTCCAATAGCTAGGAGACAATTGAAGCTTGTGGCTGTGGCTGTAGAGTATTTCACTAAGTGGGTGGAGGCCGAGCCTTTAGCAATAATTTCAGAGCCTAAGTTGAGAAGTTTCATTTGGAGTTCCATCATATGCAGGTTCAAGATATCGAAAGTCCTCATAACTGATAATGGCAAGCAGTTTGACAATGCACAATTTAAAAACTTCTGCTCCAACCTGGGGGTCGATCACCGTTTGACATCAGTTTCCCATCCTCAAAGTAATGGTCTTGCCAAAGTGGTCAATCGAATTATATTGCAAGACCTCCGTACAAGGATAGGAGATGCAAAAGGTTCCTGGTCTGATGAGTTACCTTCCATACTTTGGACATATAGAACTTCCCACAGAACCGCTACGGGGAAAACCCCCTTCATGTTGGTTTTCGGTATTAAGGCCACCATCCCTGTTGAAGTCAGGTTGCCCAGCAAAAGAAGGCTTGAGCCCGAAGACACAGGACGCACCACTGAACACCTCAACCTCTTGGAAGAAGTTCGGGATCAGGCAGCTTTAAGAATGGCCTCTTACTAAGATAAAACAGCAAAGTACTTCAATAAAAAAGTGAGGACACGGAGATTCAGAGTCAAAGACCTTGTGTTAAGAAGGGCCGAAGCAGCAAGTCATGCCCCGAGCAAGCTAGAACCAGTTTGGGAAAGGCCCTTCGAAGTCATACGACAGTTCCAAGGAGGTGCATACAGTTTAAGGGATACATCAGGAAGACCACTTCCAAGACCATGGAATGCCGAGAATTTAAAAATATATTACAAGAAACTTGGTCTTCCATTTTTCGGTAGTCAGGCTTGCGTGCCAAGGTTCACGTTTTTAGTTGTCAAGCCTGCGTGCCAAGTCTATTTTTAAAGTATGATAAGAATTAAGCTATTCATCAAAATATGATCCAGCTACTAAAAACATTGCCCCGAGCAAGCAATTAACAAGTCTTGCCCCCCGCAAGCAACTCAAGCCTTACCCCGCACAAGCAATCAAAAAGTCTTGCCCCACGCAAGCAATCAAAAAAGCCTTGCCCCGCGCAAGCAATCAAAAATGTCTTGCCCCGCGCAAGCAATCAAAAAAGCCTTGCCCCGCGCAAGCAATCAAAAATGCCCTGCGCAAGCGACTCAAGCCTTGCCCCATGCAAGCAATCAAAGAGCCTTACCCCGCACGAGCAATCAAAAAAGCCTTGCCGCGCGCAAGCAACTCAAGCCTTACCCCTCGCACGCAAACAAAAAGCCTTGCCCTACACAAGCAACTCAAGCCTTGCCCCGCGCAAGCAATCAAAAAGTCTTGCCTTGCGTAAGCAACTTAAGCCTTGCACCGCACAAGCAACCAAAAAGCCTTGTCCCGCGCAAGCAATCAAAAAGTCTTACTACGAGCAAGCACATAGAGATTGTTACCAGGGCAAACGATACAAGTAACATTCCCGAGCACATAGTGCCCGATCAATGATGTGATAGATCTTATAAAAAGGCCATCCTTGTCCTCTAGAATCATGTTATAGGTCGATACAATACATTGTCATTAGTCCTCGAGATAATCCCCCTATTAAGGAATGACCGTAGAATCGAGTTACTACCTTTGTCCGAAACTTTTGCGAAATTGACTCCTCGAGATAACTTGTATACTCAAGCACAACACGTTATCTTCGAAAATGATTTTACGTAATTGAGTCCTCGAGATAAACATGTACTATGTTCAAGCTCAATGCACAATTTCGAAAGTGATTTTGTGAAATTCAGTCCTCGAGATAATCCTGTTGGTCGAGCATAACAAAAATAAATCTTAGTCATCGGTGTATTGACTTAGACGTCGAGATTATCAATGAATCATTATCATCGAGATATTAACTAATTATCTTAATGGCCGAGATCATCTTCAAGGTCAATTAAACGCTGACATTCCTCAAGGTGTGAAAAACCCCGAGGACGACCATATACACAAACATCATTTATCTTAAAACAAGTGATCGAGGTATATAGGTCCTCGAGAATTAGTGATCAAGATCGAGCTATCATTTACAATAAAAATTTAACACAGGACAAAAGCTCATTACATTACCTCGAGAAAAACACTTGGTTACATTTCAAAAAGTGTTTCAAAAAGTAAAAACAGAGCGAAAGGATCATCAAAGACAGCTGATTCGTCCTACTAACATGTCTTCTGCTGGGATTGGGTGTCTGGTGGTATCTTCTATAAAATCCTTCTTTTTTAGTCTAATAGACTTGCCATTCCTTCGAAAATCCTACCAATTCACTGTTTCATGTTACGTCAATTCGAACTTGCTCGATCTGTTCAATTGCGACCTTATAATGCAATCGGTATCGAACGGGCAAGAAGGAAAAGTGTACTTTCTTGGGGCTTTGGCTTCTTCAAACTACTGGAATTGGTTTGGCGAGATTACCTATAGGCTCACGAAGAAGCAACCAATGGGTTACTTCCTTCCTCCTATAGGCTACAAGAAGGCGACTATTGTTCATATGGTGGAGCATTCATTCTTCAGCCCATATTTACACTTCTCAAAAGAGTTCAATTGGTACGCGCAAGAAATAGGCCAATTCGACGGCTTTTTGTGGAGATGCCTAGCCTATATGCCCCAAAGAGGGATCGAAGTTTGTAATATCGATCTCATCATCTGCATCCTCAGCCTCAGCCTCTCCCCCCTCCAGGCCATCATCATCCTCATCCGCTCCCCCATCATCAGACTCTGAGAGCTCGAGAGTATCAACAATGGAGGGTACTATTTTCAGATCCTCGGGGCTAACGTCGAGCAACCTTGCGCGAAGGAAAGCTCGAGCCTCCTTAAAAGCATGAAGGTAGGCACCCGAGGTGTACTCGCCCTTGATCTTGTCACAATCCTCGGAGATTTTAAACACCTCCCAGGCCTTCTCCTTGACATCCGCGAGTTCGCGCTCAAAATCCTTCGTCTTTTGCATAAGCTCGAGCCTCATACCCTCGACCTCATCCTTTGCAACACTAAAGTCATCCCTGGCCTTAGCAGCCTCCCTTTTCGCGTCATCACGCTCTTTCAATAAAGCCTCGACCTCTGCCTCGAGGTCAAGAATCCTTCTGTCCTTAGAGGCCATGGAAGTCTCCACCCCAGCTGCTTTCTTGGCTTCCTCGATCCGTTGAAGAGAAAGCCCTCGAGCTACACTCAACGTCTGGAAAAAAAATTTAGGGTATTAATCTCGATGAAGACGCTAAAAGCTGAAGTCAAATTTTTGAGGATTACCTTCATTGTAAGACGCTCGAGGACCTTCATCCCATCCTTAAGCTTCACCTCCTCCTTATATTTGTTCACAAGATCGGGAACGAGGTGGCAACGTCTAAA